TGCAAGTACTTTAACGAACGTTACGACCTTACGAATATATTCCCAATCGCTTAGAAGCAATCCAACAGGTTCCGTAAGTAAAAGGAGTGGTCTAAAAGACCGAAGGCTTATATAGCTCTTTGCTTTTAAAATTATTTTCGAAGGATATTTAAAAAGGCTTCGAAAAGCGTTTCGTAGTTAGCAAGACCGCTTAAAGTTGGTTTAATTCCTTTCGAGCTCGCCGGGCCTCTTTTTTAGCTTTATTAGCGAAAGCCTTTTGCTCGCTAGCGCTTTTATCGAGCTTTTCGTTGCGGGTTTTCATGTTTGCGAAGAGCTTTTTAAGCTTAGCGGCCTTTCGTTAAGACTAGAAGAGAGCTTAATATTAGACTAAGGCTTTTTTAAGGTTGGTAAAGGCCGAGGGATTATCTTTATCGTCTTGCTTATTAATAGCTTCTTTTTGAGTAAAAAGCACTATTAGTTGGGCCGTAAAAGAGGAAGAAGGTGCTAAAGCAGCTTTAAAAGGTGTGCGAAAGATTTTGCTCGCGGGGCGAAGGTTGCTGTATTATATAAGTGCTATTTTTTAAGCTATACTTGAAATAAGTCTTTTCGTGACCATTAGAATCGTTTAAGTGTTTTGACGTCTAACTATTAAGGAATTCTAAAGAAGAATATTATTAAAGCCGTTTCCGGCGAAGTAAAGTAGTTGTTAATAATATAACGACTTTAAGCGATTATCTAAAAGAACTTACGAGAGCGCGGAGTTTATATAAGAGCTTAAGAGAATCTTAAAGTAATGACTTAAGATTAATAACTATCGAATGTAAAGGTCGAAGATAGCTAAAGTCTATATATACGAAAGTAAAAGCGCTAAGGACTTATGAACTATAATTTATAGGTCAAAAGAAAGGAATGAAAGAATACGAAGAATACGAAGGAAAAAAGGAGGGAGGTAGCTTAGCGCATATAGGGATGCGTTCAGGAGACCTGGCGTGTCGTCACACACTCGGTAGTTGTTGATTTTAAGTCATTACTTTGAGATTCTCTTGAGCTCCTATATGAACCCCGCGCTTTCGTAAGTTCCTTCAGGTAATCGCTTAAGGTCGTCACAAAGGTTCTACTTAAGCTATATGTTATATGACCTCGCTTAATAGCGCTTTTAGCGCACTAAAGCTCTTAAGTATATGTAAATATATTTTAACGAGCTTCTTAAATAGAATATATTAAGCTTTATTCAATCTGCAGAATCTCCTTTTAATCTTAGTGCTAGTTAGCATTACAAAAAGCAAATGCGAAAGAAAAGGATTTATAAGCTGTGCTGCCAAGACGGAAGCCTAAGGTCACGAGGTGACGTGTAACCCTTGCGCGTGTTATCACGTGGCTCCGCGTGATTCCGCGCGGTCACTACCGTAACACCCCTTTTTTTAATAAAGAAATCCTAGACCCTTTTGCGAATCACTTATATTTAAGGCAGCGACATGCTTTACGTGTGGCAGCCTCACGTAAGTTACGTATAGCAGCCTTACGTAAGTTACGTGTGGCAGCCTAGGTCGGTCTTAGCATAGATCCACAGAACGCTCAATATAATCAAAGCGAGCTTGCGAAGCTTTGTATTACTGGAGAGCTCCTTCTTTTATAAGGGGGAATATGGCCTTATGAAAAAATGCAAATAACCTTTTTTAGCGAATGGAATTGATTGGTCAGTTAAAAAGTGCGCGTAGTAACGGGAGGCAGAATCTTAAAATGGCAGACAACGTAATTGAAATACCGGTATTAACAATTGAAGACTAAAGATATACTATTATTTCGAACTTCAAATCATTTAGATAAACACGCTTCTTCAAATCCTGTGAACTCTTAATTGCGCGTATATACCTTGGTAGGTGCACTCCCAAGCTCGCTTTGATGTTACGTAAGCTGCTTGCCATTTACGTCAACTTACTTGATATCGATATCGCTTCATGGTGCGAGGAGCAGCGAGCCATCAAAGCCTCCTGGCGTGTACGGCTATTCTATGGTATGAAAAGAGCAGCCGCGAGGTTAATCTCAGGCAGGCCTCTCTCTGACAGACGCTGCAGAGCCCGTCGATGGGGACCTTCGACCTGTCACTTTGTATGGAGCGCAGAGCCAGCTTGGGAGAACTCATGGTGCCGTTCCGTTCTTTTGTTTGGAATGCCAGGAGATGTGCTCTAGCATCGAATGCGTGCAGGCGAGAGGGAGTGAACCACCTCAGCTAGCGATTTGAGACAGGAATTTGGACCTCTGGCACCGGAGCGCCGGAGGACCTGGAAGGGGGTCGTAAGAAAGAGGCCTCCTGTGCCAGGACCCATCAGAAATGGAAACAATTTCAATTTGACTACAGAAGTTTGGATATTAAAAAAGAGCTTCTTGTAGTATTCCAATCTCAATTCGAAGTTACAGTTCGCGTTCTGCGTGGATGCTTAGAGAAGTTTTTTCATTAGGCCTAAGATCGATCAGAGCTCAGCCTGCCTCAGATGGTTCTTAATATGAAGTTGAACAAGTTGAAAAAGATAAGTCCTACTAATAATGCTCGAGATCGCTGGTGCGAGTACACCAGCTGTCCTCGAGGCAAGTCTGGATCCATCGACCTGGCGAAAATATAATAGTTTCATCTTCAAGCGATATTAATGGCACCGGTCCTCTCAGCCTATTTTTGAAGACCGAAGCAGATACCAAATTCACCTTCCACAATCACCTTACACCCAAAGGCCCTAATTAGTAGTACGTCGTCTGTCTCTCCACAAGCTAGCTGGAGGGAATGAAAGACAGGCGGTCGTCCAGAAGGCAGTAAATATAATTTTTGAGGAATGAGATTCAAAATTAAGAGGCCGGGAGTTGCGGGAGAGAGGGGGGATGGGGGAGATGTGATCACGAAGTATCGAACTTGGTGGACAGTCGGAATTCCTCGACGTATTTGATGGGTTAGATAAGGATGGAGGAAATACTAATTAAAATATTTGCGGATCGGGCGAATCCCTTATAGGATCATCCGGAATATTTTGAGGGGAACTAGACCGTAGCAAGAGGTGATCGAGGTCCTAAGCTTCTAGCTAGTAAATAAAGTTGACGGGGCGTATTGCTATTGGGATCGCTCTATAGAAGTTAAATAGATCTTAATCGGCAATCCTAAGTATTGGGCACGCTCTCGTTTAATTCAAGGTCCTAAAAGCTTAAGATGATCCGCGTCTTGTTGGCAGGGTGGTGGTGAGATACGCTGGTACACGGAGTAAGGCGGAAGGAAGGGGGGAAAAGCTTATGCGATGCGGGTCATCAGGTATGATCGAATTAAATATAAGCATATGATCCTATTTCGCGAAGGAGCTCGGTAACGTGGTTGCTTGGCTTCGCATAGGCTAGATGCGATCTGCTTACTTCTATTATGATAATTATATCTCCTCTAATCTCTTGCATTTCCAAACCCATTATCGTCGATATGGAAATGCCCTGCAAACAACGCTTTGTGCAATCGTTCCATTGCAGGATATAGATATATCAATTACATAGTGGGTTCTGGAAGTGCGAGAGTTTGAAGGCTAAAACCAGCTCTTCCTATTAGGAAATTATTAGGCTGACTTCTTAGAATCCAGAAGAAAATGAAAGAAAAAAAGAAGAAAAGGAAGGCGGGGGACAAGACCGTTCTTACATCGTGATTATTACGGTACTCGAGTGCATCCGAGTTTGAAAACGGCAGCGCTTCACCGTTACAGAAAGCGAACGACGTCAAGGCACGATTACTGTAAGGTTGCTCGGAATCGGGCCTTGTCAATCGTTTCTACTGTATCATCATGGTTTGGGGCCACAGATCACGCACTGACATCCAATCGAGGCCCTTGCCTCTTCAAGAGACAAGAACTACTTACAAGGTACTGCGTACTTAGCAGGCCAGCGGAACTGCTTCCTGACGACTTTTCTTGATCTGCTTAACCTTCGGATGCAGCGCACTGACTGTTGCCAATTCCTTTCTACGGAGTAGCTTTCTAGAACTTCTGGCGGGGTATACCCGCAACTCCATCATCTCGGGCTTATCCGCACAGGCATGGCTCTCTATCAGTACTGGACATGAATCCCACCGTGGTCGTATAGAGTCTCAGAAGCAGTAATCACGCCAGGATGTCTCTCTTTCGCCTGGGATCAGATGCACTTTTCGGGAATAGCAAAATCCGGATTACAAAGCAGATGCTTCCCACTCGTGCGACTGGTACGGTATATCCCCCTACTCCCCACATCGACAAACCATGCCAAAGTATAGAGTCGAATATACGCTTATCCAAGCATTCGCTCTGCATGACTTCTACTCTTAATTTCCAAAGATTGACGTAAAAATATGAATATGCTGGCCCAACGAGCAGGCTGGAAAAGCACGAAAGACAGCTTACCACGGAGAAGTTATACGGAGTAGAACCTCGAATCGGTAGGAGCTCGGTCGACATGATTTAGGCGGTACCGAAACTCTCTGTAAGGTTACGGCGACTCCCAAGATACTACTATCGTTCTCCAGTTCTTCGGCATTCCAGTATTCACGGTAAGAAACGGCGGAGGGCATAACATCGGAACCCATTAGCTAGAGGTATTGTTGATGACAGCATAGAATTAGACTCAATAATTGTTTCCGCAATGACGTTGGTATCAACTACGGTAAGGTGTTCACCATCTTCTCTCTCCGTCTCCTATCTCTTGGTGCACAAACAATCCTACAAGGATTCCATGCCCATAGTGCCCACGGAATCCGGATTCCTAAAGAGAGAGTAAACATCCTTTTATAGTTGCAGGGACGTCATATAGAGTTTTTACTGTACAGTTCTTACCCGATACAGATGCAGGAAGAGTAGCCGTTCACCTAGCCCAAGGGAAGGCCGGGACTCTGGCATCTGATAACTTGTCCTGGCCTTCGAGTAAAGAATCTATTATTATTATATAAAGTAAGAATCCGATGGGGTGAAATATTCAATACCGTTCTGTTTTTTTTTTTTTTCGTAGAGGCGAGGCTTCACAGTTCGGACAAGATGAAGAACGACCAGGCCATCACGAGCGGAGCAAGACCCCTCGATGTGAGTAAGAAAGGTGGTGTTTACCGGACGTCCTCCGTCAAGAGCGACGGCGAGCTCGGTGATGTTGTCCAGGACGTGGAGAAGACGAAGAGAGGTCTCAAACCCAGACACGCCCAGATGATCGCACTTGGTGGAACCATTGGTGAGTTGCGAGGCTTGCATCTCGCCGATCGAGGGCCGACTTACTGACAAGAAATGTAGGCACTGGTCTCTTCGTGGGAAGCGGTAGTACCCTAGCTCGAGGTGGCCCGTTGTTCATCCTCATCACGTATTCTATCGTTTCAGCTATGGTACTCTTCGTTGTCACTGCGATTGTCGAGATCTCGGCCTACCTGCCTGTATCTGGAGGCACGATGGGTTACTACGGACATCGAAACGTCTCGAAATCGCTTGGTTTCGCTATGGGCTGGCTTTACTGGTACTCTCTGGCAGTATGCGTTCCATACGAAATCACAGCAGCTGGAATTGTTATTCAATATTGGGACATTGACGTCCATATTGGTATCGTAAGCGCCTTTTCTCTCCCTTCTCGCTGCTTCATCCCTCTCTTGCCCCGAGATAACTCTCCAAGCGCTCTAGATGAGACCCTCAGCTGACCTCCCATTCATCTAGTGGATTACCATCTTTATTATTGTCATCGTGGGCCTTAATACACTACCTGTACAGTACTATGGGGAAACTGAATTCTGGTTTGCGTCTCTCAAAGTGTTCATGATGATTGCGCTGCTCATCTTGTCCTTCATCTTGTTTTGGGGCGGTGGACGTAAGTTCGACAACGTTCTCGTCTAGCTGCAAGCAACTGATGTTCTCTTAGCCAACCAGAATGGCATCCTAGGATTTCGCTACTGGAAAGATCCTGGCCCGACCAAGCCTTACCTTCGAACAGGTAGTGCTGGACTCGCGATCTGCTTCTTCAAGGTTCTGATCTCTTCTGCCTTCCCCTTCCTGTTCGCGCCCGAACTGCTCGTTGTGACCGCTGGTGAGATGAAGAGCCCGAGACGCAACCTTCCCGTAGCAGCCAGGCGGTACTTAGCACGTCTTATCTTCTTTTACATCGGCTCCGTGCTCGCCATAGGGGTTATTTGCCCTTCGGACGATCCACGGCTCACCAGCGGTGGCGTTGGTGCAGGATCCTCAGCGTTTGTTGTTGGAATCGCCAATGCGGGCATAAGTGTTCTGGACTCCATGATTGTACGTATATATTTTAGGAAGAGCGATCCACGCCCCTTCGACTGTCGCAGGCGATTCTTTGTGAAGATGCGCCGAAACATCTCCATGCTTGCAAATCGCTGACCTCTATACGATCTAGAATGCCATCGTCATCACCTCCGCATGGTCTTCCGGAAACTCTTTCTTGTACATGTCCTCGCGTTCTCTGTACTCCCTTGCCGTCGCCGGGAGTGCCCCCAAGATCTTTGCCAGATGTACAAAGCAAGGTGTGCCGTACATGGCCGTGGGATTCACCGCGCTCTTCAGCGGTCTGGCGTACCTTAACGTCGCATCCGACAGTGCCAAGGTCTTCAACTGGTTTGTCAACCTGACCAACACCTGCGGCTTCATCTCCTGGAGCTGTTGCTGCTTTACCTACCTCCGGTTCCGCAAAGCGTGTGATGTGCAGGGTGTCACGTACCCCGAGAAGATCCCCTACCGGTCGTGGATGCAGCCGTACGGGGCCTACGCGGCCCTCGTCTTCTTCCTCTTCCTGGCCTTGATAAACGGCTTTGACATCTTCTTGGGGCAACGCTGGTCCATGGAGACCTTCTTCACCGCGTACATCGGGATCCCCGTCTTCTTGTGCATCTACTTCGGACACCGGATCTGCAGCAAGAATGAGCCGTGGCTCATTCGGGTGGAGGATGTCGACCTGCACACCGGCATCGACGTCGTTCTTGCCAACGAGTTCCCGGAGAAGAACGCGGGTACTTGGAAGAAGAAGCTGCAGGGGATGTTTACGTAGTTCTCTTGTTGGCGTGTGGTAAGGCAATCTGTATGTGAGTGTGAGTGTGTGTGTGTGTGTAAATACTATGTATGGATTGACGAGATGTGTATATCAGAGATAGACTGGGGATATTATTTACTTACGACTGGAATGAGACGTTCTGCATATGAATCTGAGAGAAGATTTGAGCTGGTGAAAGATGGTGGTTACCGACTCTCGGTAAAAGAGGTGGAAGAGAATTGAGGTGGAAGAGAAGAGAGAAATACCGGTCAACACCCCTGACCTCTGATTATCCACGTGAGAGGCGTCCACGTGAGGAGCGTCCGCGGACGGTATGGTTACCAGGCCATGGGATACGACTACCCCTTTCGGACGAATCTGTCACAGCCCTGCATTTCGTTTACCCCACATTGTTTAAGCCTTTTCCAGCCATGCTATCCGGCGGTATCTCTCCGGATCCTTATCGCGACCCATGTTCCAGGACTTCCATGACTTCCCCGACTTCCCCGACTTCCACAGCACCTCGTCGACTTCCCTCTTATGCGGTCGAAGGGGAAAATGCCATCACGTCAGCACGATGCGTGGGTATGTAATCTTACCAAGAGCTTCTACCTCGCAATTTCATTTGATCCGGTTGTCATCACGTGTACCCCTCGGTCTCCCAACCCGGTTTGATACTCCAGATCCCGCTCAGTTCCTATATGAACTCTTTTGTCCCCTCTCTTACCAGTCAGTAACCTTTCTTCTCTTGACTGATCTCGACTGATTTCGACTGAGATCGGCCTTCTCCTTGTCTTCTTCCTTCAGTATCTCAATCGTGTCGTTTCAATATCAGCAAGCAGCGCACAATGGCTCTCGATAGACTCAAGTCCGTTGCCCAGCACTTGTCTGGCACTGCTTCTCTTCCCCACCCATTCGATCCCCTCAGCAATGCGGAGATTGAGGCCGCAGTAGCCATCATTAGTAAGGAGCATGGCGAGCTTTCATACAATGCCGTGACGCTGCGTGAGCCTCCAAAGAAGGAGATGCTAAAGTGGTTGGAGGCGCCGGAGACCGCCCCGCTACCGACGAGGATTGCAGATGTAGTTGCTCTTGCGCCGGGTGCGAAGGTGTACGATGGATTAGTAGATCTGAGGGCCGAGAAGGTCATCAAGTGGGAACAGATGGAAGGAGTGCAGCCGTTGGTAAGGAATCCCCTTTCTGGGGAGACGATGGCATCAATATTGACTGGCTCTAGATCACCATGGAGGATCTGCAGATTGTCGAGCACGTTGTACGAGAGGATCCCAAGGTCATTGAACAATGTGTGATCAGCGGCATTCCAGCAGAGGATATGCACAAAGTTTACTGCGATCGTGCGTATCCTGTCTCGGGGGAGCGGGCATCTGCTGACGTTCGTAGCGTGGACGATTGGCTACGACCACAGATTCGGCAGCAATGTCAGATTACAGCAAGCTCTGATGTACTACCGCCCCCACGTAGACGACTGTCAATACTCCTTTCCCCTAGACTTCTGCCCCATCTTTGACGCCGACAGGCAAGAGATCATCCACATCGACATTCCCGACGTCCGTAGACCTGTCAGCAAGGCGAAACCCAATAACTACCACCCAGCCAGCATCGAAGCCGAAGGCGGATACCGGACCGATATCAAGCCAATCAACATCACACAACCGGAAGGTGTCTCGTTTAAGATCGAGGGACGGAGCATCAATTGGCAAAACTGGAATGTGCATGTTGGCTTCAACTATAAAGAGGGGATTGTGCTGAACAATATTACGTACAATGACAAGGGGACCGTCAGACCTATCTTTTACAGATTGTCGTTAGCCGAAATGGTGGTTCCGTATGGAAACCCGGAGCATCCTCATCAACGGAAACACGCTTTCGACTTGGGAGAATATGGCGGAGGGTACATGACCAACAGTCTGTCTCTGGGCTGTGATTGCAAAGGAGCAATTCACTACATGGAGTAAGTGTACCCCAAGGTCCTTTCTAGACCCCAGCTTCTGGAGCATTGAATAGCCCCGAATATATTTAGAATGGGATAGTGCTAACCGAACATTAGCGCCGCATTTGTGAACCGTGCAGGCCAAAGTACGACTATCAAGAATGCCATCTGTATCCACGAAGAGGATGCAGGTATCCTGTTTAAACACACCGATTTCCGTGACGACTCGGTTATCGTGACCCGAGGTCGCAAGCTCATCATCTCCCATATCTTCACTGCCGCTAATTATGAGTACTGTGTGTACTGGATCTTCCATCAAGATGGAACCGTCCAATTGGAGATCAAACTCACTGGTATCTTAAACACCTACGCCATGAACCCCGGCGAGGATACCCACGGCTGGGGCACAGAAGTCTACCCAGGTGTCAACGCACACAATCATCAACATCTCTTCTGTCTGCGAATCGACCCCAACATTGATGGCTCAAACAACACCGTCTTTCAGGTTGATGCTGCACAGGGCGCAGGTGAAGTCGGTAGCAAGGAAAACGCATACGGAAACGCTTTCTATGCCAAGAAGACAAAGTACACTACTGTGAGCGAAGCAGTTGCCGATTATGATGGAGCGACGTCCCGAACCTGGGAGATGGCCAACGAGAACAAATTGAATCCATACAGTCACAAGCCAGTTTCGTATAAGCTGGTGAGTAGAGAGGTTCCGCGCTTGCTGCCAAAGGAAGGTTCTTTGGTGTGGAAGCGAGCTGGTTTCGCTAGGCATGCTGTTCACGTCACCAAATGTAAGCAATCTCTGGGGTCGATCTATGGGACATCTGATACTGATACCTGGCAGACGACGATGACCAAATCCTCCCCGCCGGACGCCATGTTCCCCAGACATCGGGCGAGCCCTCGCGCGGTATCCCAGAATGGATAGCTAACGGCGATGCATCGATCGAGAACACCGATATTGTGCTATGGCACACTTTTGGCATCACCCATTTCCCCTCTCCGGAAGACTACCCAGTAATGCCCGCCGAGCCAATGACGCTGCTCCTCCGCCCCCGCCACTTCTTTTTACGGAACCCAGCGCTCGATGTCCCGCCTAGCTACAGCTCTACCCCTTCTCAGATCGCTGGGAAGGGACCGGTGCTGGATGCGGCTGACAAAATGAGCAAGTTGGTCGTTACGGGTGGGGATGCGAGCTCTTGTAAGTAACGAAAATGTCATGAGATGGATGAGAATGATTGGACGACGGCGTAGAGATATCAGAGTACGGTGTCGATCCTGTAGCATTTATCATGTTATACTTCGGTGGAGTTGAATACAAAGAAATTAATCATGTCCTTCTCCAAATACTGCATATGAAATACCTGTCATAGCTACGCAGAAATACGGAGATACCATAGCTCAACCAGCGCCCTGACGATAATGCAGCTCTTATGAACTCTTTTTTCAGATCATATTGAGCCTATCCGGCGACCAAACGGCCGACGCGTTCGGTGTTGACACACTTCTAATAGCGCACTTATACCCGAATCGGGAGGGTACAATTCTTATTAAAATAAGCCCAAGTTCGAGAAAGGAAGATAAGACCGTGTCTGATACCTGTAAATTAAGCGAACTACCATGGGTACGGCTGATACTCTCGATAGCGGCAGAGCTTCTGGTTCCTGCTACATGCGGAACGTATTAGCCCCTTCTTTTAAGCCACAACAACCAACCATGCATCGATTAATTCTCCGATGCTGCCGTAAGCATCTTCTTCTTTGAGTTTTCACGGGCAAGCTCAATGATGATGAAGATGACCTTCTCGGAGTGTCATCACATCGACGCTGAGTGGCTGTTGACGGGTTTGGGGACGAGCCTTCAGCATGATCGACAAGACTGGTATTGAGCTTTAAATAAGCGAGCCAATCACAAGAACCCTAATTCAAAGCAATCGGCCCATCAGGCGAGGCTGAGAAAAGTACATAAGACGAGGCCAGAATCGTCCACCTGAATATGTCAAAGTCACCAAAGTTCTTCGAAACGTTCAGAATCATCAATTCCTCAATACTTCTACTTCAATCCTCGCCAACGATACCGTTCCCCCAAAATGGCTATCCCAAGCACTTGCTGTGGTAAGAGCGGCCAAGGCTGCGTCTGGTAAATAGGTCCCCGCGCACTTTGCTCTCGAACCCGAGTTAACAGTTCGTTCGCAGCGCAACCCAAGCCAGATGTTCGTGCGGCGAGAAGTCTGCTCTGCAATGCACCTGTGACAAGGCCAGCACCGAGAACAAGATCGCCGGAGCTCGCTGCTCATGCCGTACGTCGTCGCATTAACCACTGCCCCGCGCGCCTCGATTCCTGGGGAGACAAGCCACAGCATTCTGACAAGCAAGGAAAACAAACAGGTGCCCGTCCTGCCGGATCGTGCACATGCGATCGTGCCTCCACCGAGAACTCGACCCCCAGCGGCTCGCTCTGCTCCTGTGGCGCGAGACCTGCCGGTAGGTGATCACCGTCCGCGGAAGATGGTGCCAGCAATCAGCCGGGTCTCGTCCTGCTTTGCTACCTTTATTGTCCACGCCGGCTGACTGTTCTGCCAGATGCCTGCACTTGTGAGAAGGCTGCAGATGGCGGATCCAACCCTAATGAGACGGACTTCACTACCAAGGCATAGTGAATGCACATGATACCTGTCCGACCGGTGGCATTGATACAATAGGGCGTTAGGGGTGGAGGTGGGCCGGCAGCGGTTTGCATTGCTTTTTTTTGTTTTTCCGACGTTACGTGCCATCGCCACCATACGGGCGAGAAGATGGAAGGATATCTGGACGGAAATCTGTCCGGCCAGGAATTCTATGTCGGTTTGTTCTGGTGCGCTGCGTTCGACAATGCTACGAGTTACGGATTATGGCAGAGACTGAGGGCAGAGATCCTCATGCAAATACAACAGAATACACGACAGAATATACGACTGGCTATTCTCTGACTGGTGTGGCTGGGCATTGAATTGCCCATTGTTTTCCTTCTCATTGTGTAGCGGTTTCCCTTTGGAAGTCTTGTGTTGTTGCAAACTATACTATCGCATATAGCTTCCTAGTGGCATTCTGATGTTTCCATGGCACCTGGCTCTATCGATCCAAGTCTTTCGGAATTTTGATAACGACAGGGAGTTGATGGTTCCAGACAGGGAGAAAAATGCGAAAGAAGGAAAAGTCCGACAAGATGTGCAAGTCGAAGCGTAGCTTTTCCAAAATGGGTTATTGAAACCATGAATCATCAGAGAGCTCGTGCGGCTTCTCCTGGAGGTGTGGCGGATGCGGATCAGCAAAGGAATTTTTTCAAGTGGAAGTACTGGCAGTACTGGGAGCGGTCAGAGCAACAAGAGGACCGACTCACCGGAGGGTGAAGTAGGTATCAACACGCCGGCCTGTATAAATGGGTGAACTTTCCCGTTTCTCTCTGGCTTTGCTGAGGAAGCACGAGGACGGCGAATTCCAGAGAGCATATTAAGTTAGTAAAGCGTGCTGTAAGCAAAAACACTCACTATAGCGGTACTGTACAGACATGCGCAACCAGTACGGCTTTCAGAGGGAAACCTCCCATCCGGGTATGAGTAAAAGTATGGGTGTTTGTATCGAGCGATTCGCAGTATTGGATACCGTTTTTCTTTCCCTTTTTTTTTTTTTTTTGGAGAGAGAGAGAACGGGGGCGTCAAGCTACCGGTATCTATCTACCTTAGCGGAGCAAGCCGGGATTCTAGAACCCTGTAGCTGACCGTGTAACAGCCTTAGGCCGTGTAGCGGGCCATGTAGCAGCTTCAGGCCGTGCAGTAATCGTATAGAAATTTTAAACCGTATAAAGACCGTTAGCGAAAGCGACCGCATAGACCGCTTTTTAATAACCCTTAACTCCGATATACTAATTCAATTCTGCCGCGCACAGCTGAATATATTTAAACTTCGCGTTCTTAATAAAACTTCAACTATTATAACTGTTATAACTATTAAGCGCGTCCGTCACCTTTTAACCCTTAACCACTTTATTTTCTTTTACCTTTATCTGCTACGAATACTAATAACGTGCTAGTATCGAAAAAGCAAGTGATCCTTTCTTCGGTCTCTTTTCTTTCGGTCTGTCCTTCGGTCTGCTCACTTGCAAAGACCATTCCCTCGAATGTGGATTAGCCGAATAGTAAAGCAAACCAGCCACTCCTCCTTCCTTTTCCCTCTCTTCTTTTTATTCCTTTTATTTGCTACGCATACTAATCAATTGTTTATAATGATAGACGCGCTAGCTTTCAAGCTCCTTCCCTTTCTCTCTTTCTTTCTTCTTCTCTTTTTCCCTCTCCTTTTCCTTTTCTTTCTCTTTCTTTTTAATAGGCTGATCTTTAAGTCTTTAAGCTCTTTTTCTTTCTAACTTTACGGTCCGATATCACTAACATCATTTTATAAGCTGAAAGATTACAAAGGGTCTAAAAGAAAGCGCTAAGGTAAAAGTGGCAGTCTAGCAAAGGTAGAGGTGGTAATAAATAGCCCTCACCAATTGAATTCAGACTTGCCTCTTTAGATGTAATAGCTTGGCGCACAGCTACACTAGTGACCCCGCCCGGATTATCTCCTTAAGCGCAGCCTTCGCTTAAGTCCTTCTACACGGTTTAAAAATATTTATACGGTTTAAAAATTTTATACGTTTGAAATTTCTATGCGGTTTAAATACTTACACGGTTTAAAATCTATCAACCGAGCTGTTTTGAAGGATAGTGGCCAACCGTATAAACCTGCTATACGGTCCGCTACACGGTTCTAGAATCTCGGCTTGCTCCGCTAAGGTACCCATCTATCTATCTTATCTAATCTTATCTTATCTCAGATATCCGCATCAGCCGCATCAGCAACCCAAATCCAGTTTCTACTGTAACACTTAATAAGCTAGCCCCCTCCAACGTCAGCCATTTTCCAAGCTTTAAACAACAGAGCGACTCCGACTCCAAACCGTAACCACAAACCACATCAACGAACGGCCCACGTCAAGAATCCCGACCCCGGAAAAAAAAAAAACATGGCAACAACAACCTCGAACCCGCTCCCGCTCCCCATCCGCCTCGCGCAAACGCTCGGCATCACCACCTCCCTCGTCCTCGCCGGCACCAGCCTCTCCACATCCACCACGACCATCCCCCGCCTCCTCGAGTCCCCGCCGGCGCTCCTCCTCCAGCAGTGGCGCCACATGTACGCGGCCGGGCGGGCGACGGCTCCGCCCGTCGCCGCCGTCGCGGCGCTGTCCTACTTCTTCCTCGCGTACCGGGCGCGCAGCGGTGCGGGCGCGGGTGCGGGTGCGGGTATGTATGTCGCGGCCGGGCTGCTGAGCGTGGGCATCGTGCCGTACACGTTTGCGGTTATGATGCGTACGAATCGGCGACTGCTGGGGAGGGCGGCGGAGCTTGGTGTCGAGGTGGAGGGGGAGGGGGAGGAGAGTGCCCATCAGCTGGTTGATCGGTGGGGGGTGCTGAATCTGGGGAGGGCGGCTATGTTGCTTGCTAGTGGCCTGCTAGGCGTCTGGGGGGTTGTGGGATAGTTAGGTTTCTTCTTTGGTTTGGATGGCGCGTAGCGGATGGCGGATGGGGCTGGTGGAAGGTGGAAGGTAGTCGGAGTTATTAGCCGGCTATGCTTTTGGTGGAGGGTGGAACGCGCAGGCTTCGTATATCATATATCTCTCTGGGCGGAGGCCATTTTCCGCCTGGAGTTGAGTTGAGTTTGACCCTTTGCGATCGCTACATACATTACCTCCTTTTCTAATACAATCAATGAGCCAACCTCGGTCTGAAAACGTCAACGCTGAATGAATCTCGGGATAGGACTTTCATGGCCAGGTACATATATACATACCGAGATGTGTTCTTCGGAAATTTTCATTCCTTCAAGGAATTAGTCGAGAAATAAATGACTTTTTTTCTTCCTTGCTCATAAGCCGGCCGGATTTAACAGATAGCCTTAAGAGAATAACAAAGATATTCCTCGCTTCCGCCTTAAGAGTGCGAGGAGGAAGGGGAGTGGGGGGTCATTCCGATATTGTCCAGATTATCGGAGGTGAAAGAACTAAATAGCAAAGTGTGCTGAAGAGGATGGGCAAAGAGCTGTCGCTCGACAACGCGCTTACTTTACAGATACATAATAAATACATCCTACATTCCTTTGCCTCCTATGCTCTACTCCTTATTCATCTCCCAGAACCTGATACCCATGATACCCATCCCCTCCAAAAGCCTTCTCGCCAGCCATCGTCCACCCCTCAATCTTCTTCAGATACTCACCCCCAAGAAATTGCCTGATGCAAGTATCCGCCGGCTTCTTCTGTGGACTCTCAAGCGGAACTAGTTTGTAAAAATTGGCATCCATCCTCGTCGGTTCGCAGCTGCACTTCCCCTCGCGGTGCGGCGGGCAATGATGGTTGATATCATGCTGATATCCAATATCTCTGAAGAACCACACTTCACTCTTCGGTAGGAACATGGCCACGCTGAGGGTATGAACTGGGGCGTCACCAAAGCGCTCGTAGTAGAATCCACCAGCCTTATCCAGCCAGTTAAAGTACGCTTCGTTGGCTCCGCCACGCCAGAAATCCAGAGAACCAATCTCGAAGTTGGAGAAGAATTGGCAGTTGTTGTATTCTCCACCGTTCTCGGGATCCAGAAGCCAGTCTAGGTCTGCTTCGGGGTGGATGAGATTTGCGTGTGCGGCTGCAAAGGCCCGAGTACGTGCCCAGAGTGAAGGGAACGAACGAGCATCGTCAAGAATGTTGATATTGAAGCCGTATTTAAGCTTGTTGTCACGCATGAAGCGGAACACATCGTAGTCGATGTCGCAGAAGAAGTGAACCTGCGCGCGTTAGCCACCTCAAACAGCCCCCCCCCCCCCCGCCGGAGACTCACATCTGGCTCGATCCTCCAATACCAGTCAAAGTTTCCGAGAAATGGATGCTTATAGAAGAACCCACTGTTCCACCGACACATGTGATGGTAGCTCACCATCCAGCCCTTACCAACGCCAATAGTTCCTAGATACTCAAGACTGTTCATGAATCGGCTCTCGTCGATCCAGTCTGGCAGTGACCAGTGTTCTTTTGGAACAACCTCATAGTAGCAGTTTGCCGAAGTCATATTCCTCGTAGCCGCCTTGAACTCTTCCGTGAATGGCTCGTCGTTAAAGAATATCCACGGGTACTCCGAAAATCAGCAAGATCACCAGGTCTCACTCAGATATCACCAACCTGGTACTTCCTGTTCCACCTGTACTCCAGCTGCTGCATGCTCTGCACCATACCCTTCAACTCCGAGTTCCTCACCAGGCTGATCAAAGCCGCTCTCGGCCGCCTGCTCGCGCCAAAAGCCGGAACATGCGGTACCATGTGCTTGGTGACTGCATATTTGTTATCCGAATTCTCTTCCAGCCACCGGATTGGATCCGGGCGATGCTTATCCGTTGGTCGCAGCGCAGGCCGTATGGGTTTGTACTTGGTCAGAGCATGAACATCGGTAACACTTGGGCCTTTCGCCGGCCAGGAGCCCAGCAGCAGGAAAGCCAGTGTCACGCACACAACGACGGACGCGAGTCGCCGAGGAGATAGGCTAAAATGTACAGGTCAGCCAGCAGCAGTGAGTGACCACCTCGCCTGTGAGAAGCTTTTCCTCATGAACGACTCACTAGTGGCGCACAAATGCATAGCCGGGAGTCGACGAGGTCCAGAATCGGACTTTGAATCTCCACGTTTTGGGAGGTGTTCTCCAGAAGGCTGATGAATCTGTGCTGGCGGAGTTGGACTTGTTCGAGGACGGAAGGGAGCGAAAAGAAGACCAGCTGCTGTTGGTGGATGCGGAGCGGATGGGTGTATAGGGCAGTGAGCGATCTGAGCGATTGCTGGACGACTGAAGCCCACGATCAGGCATTTTTGGAGTTTCCATGACTGGATGAATGCCTCAGCGAGCTGTCATTCTGGGATGAAGCCGACTTGTAAACAAAACAAACTGCAGACTGCAGTGGGAAGGTACGATTCAAGATATTTCGGAGACTGAGACAGGACAGGAAGGGGCATAGTATACGACAATACTACATACACCGCCTACCACCGCACCTGCGAAAAGTGGTGATCAGGAGAAATATCAACATGTGTTACACATAAAACCATGTGATTGCCTTACACGGATCTCTGGAGCCCCAACGCCATTCTTCCGTCTACAGTATCGACTGTCCGATGCTAGCCTGAACGCCATCGCAAAGTTTCAATCACAACACAGATCTCCCATCCCATTTTACGCTCCATTTTCGTCCTCATCCATCCCAAGAACTCTTGCATATTGCACAGTCAGCCGCTGCAGCTCGCGGAATTTACCTGCCGGCGCGTTAGCTTTCCTTCAAATACTTCGTTTTTGAAGAAAAACTTACCTAATATTAATACAACCTCCTTCAAGAGTTCCTTTCTATCCCAGCCACATAGCTTCTCGGTCTCATCTTGTGCATCGTCGACCTCCTGCAGGATACCACCCATGATGCTTCTGAGAAGCTCTTCGACCTTGGCTTTGAGCCCCTCAGCACCGAGCCGCTTGGCGTACATGAACAGGTAGATTCGGAACTCCTCCTTGGCATCTAATTGCATAGCAGCCGCAACCCTATTCTCGAGATGGGCGATACTGACTCCGGACTCGAAGCCCTCAAAGCCTTCCTTGGATAACAGAGTCTTGACAAGCCTTTGCAGGGTGTAGGCTCGTCCCTTGAGGAGAACCTCGTTGGTTGTATGTCGCTCGAGATGAGGAATGATGCCAGCAGATACATTGGCTGCATCAACTTCACCGTCCCGCTTATTGTCTGGCCCAACTCCCGAAGATTGCAAACTGCTGATCGACGAGTCGTTGGAATTCCAATATTGACTGCCGACAGCCCACCAAGCTTCCGAAAGTCTTTGCCAGACATACATTTTAGGGGAGTAGAGGTAGCCGTCACCATTACTGAGTGTGACAATGATATGACCGGTTGAATTAAGATGAGCTGAGGTAACGCCTGGGGCGCTTGTTGTATGGACTCCCAAGGAGTGCATCGCAATTTCGAGAATTGGAGCGAGAGAGACTGGCGGATGAGGAGAGGAAAGATTCTTGAGATTCCAGACGTAGCACATTCCCACCGCTGTGATACAGAGCAGCCACCATCCTCGACATTCAAAGATAACTGGCTGTGCTTCCAGTACCAATGCATTCAACGTTCTTCGGCCTGCAGGACTCCAGCTGTAAATGCTTCCATCTTCACATGCTGCTGCCCAGAAGTTCTTATTACCAGTGACGAGGATGACAGCTCTAGGAAGATAGTCGTGCCAAATCATCACACCTCTCTTGGATGCACTGATCTTGGAAGGGTCTCTTACTTGGCCTACCACGGTCACAGGGTTCAGTGCCTCTAGGATGATGTCTTCGGTGGCTGCTGCTGACTCTTCGGCCCCGCTTGTTCCATTTGTGCCATTTGTGCCGGACGGTTTTGACGGAGGGAGGATGCCGCGACCCAAGGACCTCAATATGTGAGTTCTAACTTTGGGAACGGATAGACGAACTTGACTAATGGAAATCGCAGGGTTTATGACAGCTGGGCGGAGAAACTCAGGCGTTGGTAACATGCCGGTGACTGGCGGGGCTGCCGATGCTGGCTCTACGCCGTTGATTCCGTTAACCATAATCGAGGTTGGTCCAGATCCTAGTGTTGGTCGTTTATTTACATGTTCTTCTTGCTCCTCCCCATCAATAGCTGCTACAGCCTTTCGCTTGTTGCCTAGAAGCATCGCTGCGAGTCCACCGCGTGGAAGGCCATCGTACGGCTTCGAAAGATCCAGAATCGATTGCGGTGCATCGTTCTGGGCGCCGTTCGAGTTCGCAGCCATTAGTTGTGACTGGGGGAGGGAGGAGAGACCTGTTCCTGAAGAAGAGATCAGAAGTGGAGCTACGCGCTTTTTGCCATCTTTGGTGATTGTTACCCGTGACTTCATAGCCTCAATCTTTGCAGCATTAGGATCGACTGGTGGAGTAGGTGCTGCGGCTGTCGGGGACTCTTGAGCAGGACGACCGTTTGTGACTGGGGGCCCATTCGTGACTGGTGGTGTGGAAGTGACACCGAGCATCGGTGATCCGGCGTTCCCATTGGGCGTAGGAGCGTCATTCGAGCCAGAGTCCCCCATCAGAGCACCCATTCTTCCCTCGGTTCTTTGGCGTTCGCCCACTTTGCTTTTCTCCTCAAGACGCAGGCCCGCGACATCTTCAACAACACCGACACCCCTTCGCCCTGCCCCGAATTTTTGCAGTGCCTTTTCATTTTCTGACCATGGTGCAATGTACCCAAGTTCACCTCTCTCGAACTCCAGTGCGACTATGCTTCCGTCCAAGCTGCTTGCGAAGATGGTGTTTCCGTCAGGAGTCCAGGCAAGGTCCGAGATGGACTTGCCAGCTAGATCCTGGAGCACGACAACGGGTCTAGAGGAGCTGGTGTTCCAGATGCTCAAAGTCTTATCTTGGCCAGCACAGGCAATTACCGTGACCAGAGGCTGGGTGCTGTAACCGCTGTTATCTGTAGTTTCTGCACTGATCTCGCTCTTGCTGAACAATCGCGGAGAAAAGGTGCAGACTTCCGTGGGACCCTCGTGTCCAATCAAATTGATATCGCTATCCCAGGCTCCTCGGTTGATGATGGCTACGGAGCTCACTGGCCCATTGACCGCATTTGCTGCCGCGATGTGGTTTCCATCGGGCGACCAAGAACATCTGCGGAAATATGTGCTGAGGGGTGAGGAGGTGAATGGGCTTACGATCGTATGCTCGAGGACGAAGTTGTTGATAGAATCGTAGGAGGTGGCACTTGGCAGAGGTGGTGTAAAACGGAAGAGCTTGATGGTTCTATCGTCGCTGGCCGTAGCAAAATACTTGTTCGCGGGATCGAAAGTGATACCCTTGACGTGACTTTGGTGGACCGACAGAGTCTTCAGCTTCTCAAAAGTATGTCCAGACCAGACTACGATTTTTGAGTCCAACCCGACGGACACCAGAATCGACGAATCGTATGCCCAGCCTAGATCTTGCACGTCGTTGTCGTGGCCGATCAGGCGCTTCTGGATCTTCCAGTTTTCTACCGGCGGAGGCTCATTGCTTCCTAAACATACATATCAGCAACGGCACTGGTGTATTCTGCTCTACTAGGTGGCCTACCAAAAGCAAGTGCTGGAGGGTTTGGGTCGATGGCGTAGATGCAAATGATCTTGTCATCTGCCCCAGAAGCCAGCCAGCGCCCATTCGGAGAGAATCTGACTGTGTGGATGGTACCTGAATGGTGGTTCATATGGCACAATTGCTTGGGCTTCTCGTAGCTGATGTCTCCGGCTTGGAGGATAGCTTCAATCGACCAAATCCGAACATGGCAATCTATCATCCCAGGCTCAGCATCATTTCTTCGTCCCATCTTCCCCCGTGAGTCTCACCTCCCGCAGCTGTAGCCAGCCTACTTCCATCGGGTGAAACATGGCAACTGTACACTTCGAAATCCTTGTGCTCTCCTAGATGTCGAGGTGTGGATTAGTCGGGCGTTCAAGCTGCGCTGGGCATCATCTCATGTTTGGGCAGCCTCGGAGTTGCTTACCGCCGTGCAAGAGCCAGGAAGGTTTTATGATCTTCATCTTCTTCTCTGAGTGACGAGCTGACCTCGCATTGTTGAGCCGATGAGTGTGTGGGTAGGTGAGGTAGCAGAGTAGCGTTGACGCGACCGCGAATCTGGCATATGGGGACGTAGGCTTGGCATTAGAAATGGTACCGGTAAGTTTCGTCTCGCCAAGTTGCAAACCGCGCTTAGCATATGTGGGGGAAAATAGACAAGCTGTGAATTGCGTTTATGCAAGTGAGAGACTCATCACATTATAGGCGGTACCCGTTCACTTTTGCTAGTTCGCCATCATTATGAAAAATCTTCTGATTGACAAAATATATATATATAGGTATATATATATATAGCTCTATCTCTGGCTTCTACTTCTATTGAGTATTTCCCTTAACATCTGGTAAAGACCCTCAGACGGCGAAACTTCAAGAGCAGTGCTATGATAACCACGGCGCTTCTGCGCATCATCTCACTTCGTATCCTCGATCTTAAAGACGTATTTGGTACCACTGTTGACTCCGTTCTTCAAGTTTGAAAGTCCCTTCTCAAGACCATTCAACCCGCCCGGGACAACCTCATGTGGGTGAGCAGTAAACCAACCCTCCTGCAACCCTCTAGTGAATAGCTTGAAGTAAGCATGACCGAACTCCTTACCTCCAGTCTTAATACCAAGCTTCGCCTGCTCCTCAGACGGCGCCATGTGAACGCTTCCGACATTCGTGGTAGACTTCTCGATATAGTCTGGGATGGCGCTGTAGTCCCTGCCTGGCAGTACAAGAGTAATCTTGCTGCCTTGCTTTGCCAGAACTTGGCTGATGTTTTGGAAGCTGTTGTGCTCGCTCACGGCATCGAACGCATACTTCACTTCCCTAGCACCAGCCTTCGTCAACGCATCCTTGATCCCTGAGACGATGGCTTCGTCTCCCTTGCGATAGTCGATGATGGTATCGCCTTTCTCTCTTGTGATAAGCTGCTCGACAAAGTCTTGGGCACGACCTGCAATAGCGATGATGGGATGGATGTTTGAAAGTTGAGCAAGTTTGATTGCATAGGCACCCTAAGATATCTTAGAAGCTGCTATGGACAGATTTAGACAGTGTGGGCCCTTACCACAGCCCCAGATGCTCCGTACACGATCAATGGTGTTGGAGTTGTCGTGGGCTTCCATGGATCCGGTAGGCCAAGTCGCTGGTAAAGACCTACAGCCGCCGTCATTGCGGCAAGTGGAATGGAAGCTCCCTGACCTTGTCAGAATTAACCGTTGAGGATTGCGTGTAGCTACCGGTACCCACCTCTTCGAAGGAAGTCTTCTTTGGGAGATGGAAAGTAGTATAGTCTTCAGCAATTGCATACTCAGCAAAACTACCCGAGGGTTCCATCATTTCATGAAAGGCTGCCACGCGGTCCCCTTTATGGAACTCAATCACATCATCGCCAACAGCCTCGACAATACCCGCAATATCGTCACCAGAGTTGTGAGGCTCACGGTACTCCGGTAGCTTCCAGTCCTTTGGATTGGAGCCCGAATAGACGACTTTGATCAAAACTTGTCCGGCTTTTGGTTTCGGAACGGGAACATCATTGATGGTGACCTTTGGCCCTTTCGCAACAACGGCGTTCTTCATATTCAATTGGGCTGGTCTGGCCAAGGTCGTTTTGGGGGTTGTTGGGTGCAATGGGTTGAAAGACTTGGTACAGAGGCGAGTTGAGAAAGTTGGATTCAGATGCGTGGAAAAGCGAAGGAAGCTTGATTGATCGAGCTCAATTCATTCTTATACCATTCAATCAAGAAATTCACTTCGACATATAATTGTTTATTTGTCAGTCAACATTCTGGAATGGGGACTTATGCGTTCCTAATGACGAAGGCGGGGCCAGGCACATCGGTATAAAAATTACAAAGCAGAGAACGGGCTGACTGATTGGAATAAATTACCCTTAGCTGGAATCTTTTACCTTACCTGAAGACTGCTTTCTCCAAAAACCAATGCCTGTGGCCTCTCCTGATCTCCCAGGCATTACAGTCTTGCTATCTCCTCCAGCCATATCCTCTGTGACATGCTCGTATATTAGGTCCTCAGCCACTCAATTCATAGTATCTTGGCCGACTTGAACCCCTGAGGGCTGAGGGGACTTCGTCAATAGAGTGACATGGCTAAACTTCGTCGTCAGTGTTCATCGAGACGCTTCAAATAAGCGTGGCCTAATGCCAAGAAACAGGATACAACTCAAATGTGGTTTTCCCAATGTTCAGATGTCGCTATTCATTTTTGACGGATATTCTTGGCCTTTCTCTTTTTGAAGACAACGCCTGGAGCGCTCTGGTCATCTTCTTGCTTCACTGCTTCCGCCGGTGGTATAGAGTCCTCCACTTTGACTTCGCCTTCTGATGGCTCTATTTTAATTCCAGAAGGCTTCAATGGATTGGCACCATCTTGAATCTGGCCTTGCACTATAGATTGTTTGTCTGGAACATCTGGCGAATTCAAATCTGGCTTGACATCCTCGCTCGCCCCAGTCTTCGTTACTGGGTCCTTATTTCGGGTTGCATTATCCAAGAGAGCATCCAGATCGAAGCCCTCCTCGTCCGTAGGATGTGTCCGGTACGTCGATCCCCATCTCCTCTTCTTTGCCTCATTCAACTCTTCCTCTTCCTCCCCAATCTCCCTCTTCCGTACGCCCAACGCCAAAGCCTCTGGTTTCTTCTCTGTGCCTTCAGGGTCGATGACTCGCTCTGCCGTGACATGCCACTCTCCAGGCATTGCCATCTCCGCCCTAAACTCGTCTGGAAGAGTGACGCCCATCTCTACTAGTTGCGCCAGCTGCTTTTTTCTTTGCGCCTCTGTAGCCTGCGGCTTCGGTATTGATGGCGTCGGTCCCCGCCCAAATCCTGAACTCGAAGAACTCGCAGCTGGCCCTGATGACCCTGATCCTGATGTTCCTCCGGATACCAGCCCCTTCAGGCGTTCCACCTCCATCTTCGATCGCTCCTTGTCCTTCTCATCTTTCTCATGGCCTCGGTGCAGGTCGCGCAAGAAGCGCTTCAGGTTACCTTGATGCTTCGGAGTGGCATCATGGTTTGCTTTCTCAAGCTTTGTATCGCGGACGTAGGTCTTGCAGTGCTTGCACCAGTATTTGGGCTGTTAATATGTCAGCACGAGCTTCGATGAAGGGCAGGGTGGCGTATACCGTGGATTTCCAGTATTCTGACATCTCAGAGGTGCTTGCCTGTGAATTGTTTCGCGCGGATAATTCTTGTCGAGATTTCAGACCTACTCTCAAAATGCCACGAAACACAGTTGTGACTTGGTGGTGATGTCGGGGATGTATATTCCTACCTCGCCTAAAATCTAGCCTCGAGTGCAAGGCAGAGAGAGGCAGTCCTTGACTCCTGCATTTCAATCTTTCCACATATCCACCACAAACCCGGAAACATGATGGCGATAGAGTCCCGAATGGTTTCAAAGGCCCCCCAGGCCAGCAGGGCAGTTACAGCAGCACTCGCCACCCGATCTCTCGCACGAACTGCAGCTCTCCCCATCCTCAGAGCTCAACAACGACAGCTCCATGCCACCCCGCTGACGAGAGCCGCGAGCGGCAGCTTGATGGGCGTCACCAATTCGACTTCAGACGTTCCGACTTCCTACTTCCAAAAGCCCAGTCTGCCAGCGAATACCGTGGTCAAATTCGTGCCGCAGCAAACAGCATGGATCGTGGAGCGCATGGGAAAGTTCAACAGGATTCTGACTCCTGGGTTGGCTGTTCTGTGGCCGATCGTAGACCGCATATCATATGTTCAGAGCTTGAAAGAAGCTGCTATTGAGATACCCAGCCAGAGTGCTATTACAGCAGATAACGTCACACTGGAGCTTGACGGAGTGCTGTATACGCGTGTCTTCGATGCCTACAAAGCTAGGTATGCTTCAAACCATGCCCAACATCACTTCTGGGCCTGAGCTAATGACGAATAGTTACGGAGTTGAAGACGCAGAATACGCCATCTCCCAGCTGGCGCAAACGACAATGCGCTCGGAAATCGGCCAATTAACTCTGGATCACGTCCTTCGCGAACGTGCTGCGCTCAACACGAACATCACCACTGCCATCAACGAAGCTGCTAAGGAATGGGGTATTGTCTGTCTACGTTATGAGATCCGTGATATCCACGCTCCAGAAGGTGTTGTGGCGGCTATGCATAGACAAGTCACCGCAGAGCGCAGCAAACGTGCCGAGATCCTGGACTCGGAAGGTCAGAGACAAAGTGCTATCAACATCGCTGAGGGACGCAAGCAGAGTGTCATTCTCGCCTCCGAGGCCTTGAGGAGTGAGCAGATCAACATGGCGAGTGGAGAGGCTGAGGCTATCCTGTTGAAGGCTAAGGCTACGGCTGCTGGTATCGACGCCGTCGCCAAGAGCATCGCTCAAGGCAAGGAATCTGCACAGGGCGCCGTCAGCTTGAGCGTAGCAGAGAAGTATGTTGATGCTTTCGCCAAGCTTGCTAAGGAGGGTACCGCAGTGGTTGTGCCTGGCAATGTCGGAGACATCGGAAGCATGATCGCTAGTGCTATGGCTGTGTACGGCAAAGTTGGTGATGCACAGGCGAAGACAATGGCCGCTAAGGCTTTGCAAAACGAGACACAGGAGCCTGATAATGGGGAGAAGTTCCTTCAAGATGCAGAGACTCCGAACGAAGAAATGAAGAGAACCATGCTGGCTCAGTTCGACAAGTCGAGTCAGCGCAAGTAAGTAACGGGAGGAAGGGAAGTGGGAGGAACAAGAAATAGTGTATAACAGCCGCGAATATCACTTTTCGTTTGGTTTGGTTTGGGCAGGCAGACGATGGCGTCAGTAGCACGCTGCTCTTGTACGATGGAGAAACCCCCTTCTCAGCAATACCAAAAAGCTCATGTGTAGCGGTAGTTTACAAAATGATTCTGTACTATCAAAATCAAACATTCTCATACTTTCTATTCCTTCCGTACCAGCTACTCCATGAAAAACTCTCTAATCATATTTTACTGACAAAACGTGCTGGAATGCTCCATGGTTTTGGTCCTTTCAAAACAAGGCAAGCCTATTCTCTGTTCAACTCAACCCCCTCAGCCCGAACTCCCCTCCCACAACATCAAGCGCCCTGCCGACCCACTCCAGCACCTCCATATCCCTCGCCGCAGCCCTAACCGCCTTTGCTAGCAACGGGTACAGCCAAAACAAGTGTTTCTTGACATCGCTATCCACGCCCGACGTCTCGGGAATAGCTTCCGGCTCACAGTTCAACTTCACCAACGCCTGCAGGATATATAGCAGCTCCTTTCTCTGCGAGCGCGGCTGTGGTATCCGGCCTCTGAGAGGCTGGTCAGCAATGTACGCTCGTAGGGTGAGACCTGCGCGCAGGATCAGGTAGGGGGCCGCGGCTTGGGCGAGCTTAATGCGCGCGTCTGAGCTGTCGTGCAAAGTGATGAGGGAAACGAGCTCATCGAAGCAGACGTAGCTCATTCGGACTCGGGGGGTGGGGCCTGGGTCCACGGTGCGGCCTTTGCGTTGCTGGTAGAGGGTTGCGAGAAGTTCTTGGTTGGGTTGCGGGAGTTCGGATGGGTGGGGGGCATGGATGAGGGACATGTGAAAGAGGGACTTGGTGTATGCCATGCGAGGTTTGTCTGGGATTTTAGGGGAGCCGAGGGCGGGTGTTATGAGAGTACTGACGGCGAGGAAGGAGGCTATGTCGAAGTCTTGGTCGTCTTGGATGGAGATCGTTGGGGAGAGGGAGGAGCAGTCGGCGTTGGTTATTCCGTTTGCTATTGTGACAATTGAGGTCCAGAGGGAACGCGTGACGTCTTCTTTGAGAGGAGCTTTTGTGAGAATTGGTAAAACGGACTTCAAGATGGCGAGAGATGAGGTTGTTGCTTGTCGCCATGGTGAGATGCTTTTAGTGACGAGTGGGAAAGAATATTTCAGGACGATCGGTCTTGCAAGCGCCGTGAGGGCGGATGACAGAGCACCGCTACCGTATATCTCTTCATCGTTGGAGTGAGCGATGATCAGGTTCTCTAACAGTGCCATCGAGGCCTTGGACAAGGCAACATATGTTGGTCGTTGTGTGTCAGATCCAGAGGTGTCTCTTGGCTCAAATGCGAGGCCGACAAAGTCAGCTACTTGTCCTATAAGAGCTGCTGGGACACCATCAATATCGGTGCGAATCATCTTGAGACATTCCAGCACCTGAGTTTGTAACGGCGTAAGGTATTCGACATCTGCGGAGTATGTCGCAGCGCTAGCTTGCTGAATGGATTCTCTTAGGAGGGTCAGCATTCTGTGAACCCGCTCATCGTCAATATCAGCCTGTATCAAGCGATAAATCTCTTGCAGCGCTGAGGAGTAAGCGAGTAAGTAGTTTTGGTTATCAAATCGCTTATTACTCGGATCCGGCTTGACCACGGGAAGTGAGGTCGACCATAGGGCCCAAGCGAGGTCAAGAGATGGGCGACTGAAATTTGTTGTAGAGCTTTCTGTAAGGTTTCCCCGGGAAAGAATTTCCCGCAGTGATTTGAAGACCGCCGTGTTGATTTCCAAAATGTTCAAATCGAGCAAGGTTTGTAGGTGATTGAGCAGAGCTTGCCAGGACTCGCCAAAAGAAGCATGGCTTGATACCACCTCAAGATAATCTGCCAGAAGATTTGTGATTCCAGATAAAACAACAACGGTAGTTTCATTCCATCCCGTTCTGTCTTTGTTCGATGCTTCTGACTCGACGTCGTGTGTGATTTGGAGTTGTTCTTCAATCGAAGAGAGAAGTTTGAACATGACCGATTTGAGACAAATCGACCAAGCTTCGGGGCTCAGCTGGTCTCCATATGCGTCAAAGATACGAAATAGAGTCTGTATTGCACCTTTGAATGGTTAGCGATTCTGCATATTAATATTCAAGACCGAACTTACTGTTTCTCAGCTCCAACCTGTCATCCGTAGTGACGGCAGTCAATCTTAGAAGCAAGAGCATCCATAGGGCGGCATCTGAAACTGCAAGGTCATCACCAGAAGCCATACCAGCGAGATTTCCTTCATTTACGCCTTTCATCAGATCAGAACTAAGCGAAAGCGAGTGGGTCCTTCCAGAAATGAAATCAGACAACACCCAGAAGAACGTGACGGTCTAGACGGGTAATTAGCACCCATGGTCTGAAGATCGGTGTGCGGACTTACTGTCAACGAAATATTGAGATCATCATCTTGGGTACAGAAATTGTAAAGAGTATCAACGAGCATTATGAAACAGGAATTCGGCAGCGAGGACAGGAAGTCCGAGCAGATGAGTTGCAAGGAGTTGAACGAAGATCTGATGAGCCTTGCAGAGCGCGTGGTCGAAGCTCTGGACCTCTTGGGATTCTCTTCGATAAGTGCATCGTTCTGAACAAAGACGCTTCCAATGATATCGAACGCTATATCCCAGCCAACAACAAATGTCTCGCCACATTGCTCAAGTATACTCTTGAGTCCTTCGAGAATGATCTTGTGGACATCGATATCGGTTGCGTGCATTGCAACTGACAACTGGCGCTCACATGACTCCAGAGGACGTATTGCCTTTCTTAAAGTCTTGAGCAAGCGTAGCTGAATATTACTTCGCAGCTCTTCTGGTAATGACAAAGTTGCAGTTGCAGCTTCAAGAACAAGTCGAATTAGAATCTCTGCTGCTCTCAAGCGGACAGAAGATGGTGTAGAAGGCGAGCAAGCAGCGGACGTCAACTCGGATGTGAGAATCGCCCAACCGCTAGTCTCGGGATCATAATCCATCAGGCGGCCAATGTTGATGCCAGCCACATCTCCAAGCTTTGCCAGAGCGAAAAGATCCTCTTGGTTCTGGATCGCGGTTGCTGTATTGACGCTGTGGAGTCTGCGGTGTGTCTGTGATGGCCGTCGGATCTCTGGGGATGGTGGACCGGTGCTGCTCGCATCATCTGACTGTTTCACTGGTTCCTCTACTCCAAATAATGAGCACAGTGCTGTAATAACCTCTACAAACGCATCATTGGGGAAGTCAATGGTGCTTTCAAGAAGTCTCGAAGCTGCTGTTTCCACAGCCTTGATCTCAGTTCCAAAGTTTACAAGAAGTGCCGATCCATCAGCAGCAGATTGGCTGTCGGTTTTCTGGTTTGTAGATGGAGTACGCACTGATTTTGTTGATGAAAATAATACTAGATCTGCCTTCTGAAGCGTGCCTAGAACGATCGCCCATGCCGAATCGAGCGTTGGGCCAAGGGCAATGCCCAGATTGAGAAGCGCACGAAGACACAGCAAATTTCTGGTGTTCAGAGAGCTTGGTATGACTTCGGCCGAAGATTGCCGGCCTCGATCCGACGTTGAAGAGTTACTGGCCGAACTATCGACACTCAGAAGACCTTTCGCATTGCTGAAAATACTTTGCTTCTCTGTAGCCGGCGTCGATGATGTCGGTCCTATAGGTGTTTGCGCCGTCAGGATGTTCGAAGGCACTGCGGCTTTTCCCAGCGTTGTAAGAAATGCATCTCTAGGTGTTGCGAGACGCAAAAGTCCAGCTACATGGGTGAACTTTTGAAAAGACCTCACCAGACCATGATAGTACTCCGAGTCCAGTGCCGCGTACAAGAAGGTGGAGCATGTTGCCAGGATGGCAGGCCAGCAATGTTCCACTATACCAGCGCAAATCTTAACATCCTCGTAAAGAGGATGATCCCCAAGATCCAATGGGTTGACAGAAACAGGATTCTTCTTCGTCGAAGATCGCCTTTCTACCTTTCCTCGAGCGCCCGGGCTCCCAGGTGTCGAGTCTAGCGTCTCCTCGACTTCTAGTTGACGCCCTTTCTTGCGAGGTCTTTCTGGCACGGTCAAGGGAAGGATGAATTTGGCCAGTCCTTCCGAGAAACCATTGATACACGCGAGTGTGAGGCTGTAGATGTATGACTCTGGAATCGAAGGGGGTTCTGTTTTGTCAAGCTGGTCGATGCAGGGTACTCTCATTGTACTCCATTGGCTGCTTACCCCAACAGATGGGTCATTTGAACCAACACCGCTACTTATAATTCCTGGGACACCACTTGCTTCGAGTATCGCTTGGTCGGATCCACCACCACCTTGGCTTGTCACTGGAACCGTTGATTGCGGTCCCAGGCCGATCAATGCCGGCTTCTCGGAGCTCAATCTGACAAAAGCAGCAACCAGGTCCCGGAGGATGTCCTTTCTCTTTTCTTGAGCATCATACATGGCGAATATCTTTCTGACCAGGGCCGCGTCGGCAAAAAAACCCCGCAACGCTTCCATACATAATGATCGTTTCCACAACGCGGTGTCATGATCAAGCATATGTGTAAGGAGACCCAACGACATCTCTCCCTCGGAACTGAGAATGCTCAAATGGTTTCTTAGCAGCGTGTACAAAATACGCACAATTCTTACGGTGACTGCAAAGTTCAACTTTTCAGAGAGAGCGCTGATGATGAACGGCATGACTCTAACTCGAAGGATATGAGCCTGCTCCGCATGGTCTGAGAAGACTTGCGCATGATTGGTCAGAACCGATTCGATCAGCTCGAGACCGAAAGTCTGTGGCAGTCCTGCAGATCTGAGAAATTGAGGCTTCTGTGACTCGGTCAAGAGACAAAGATCATTGAAGACGCGGTAAGCATCCATTGCTGCGGCACGAAGGCGAATTGTCCCATCTTCAACGGGGGCTTCTCCAATCGTTGGGAGCTCGAGAGCTATCTCTATTCCCAGTCAGTGAGCATCGGATTCTCGCGCTCCATCAAAGAACCTACTATCCTCGACGACCACTTTGTCAAACACACTGACAACCAATTGCTGCAATGTCGCTGCCGCCGTATTGATAACGATGGCATTCTTGCTCGCCTGTAAGATGGTGCAAATGTTCAAGCTGGCCGCGATTAAATCGCCTTTCAGATCTTCGGCGTAGTTCTGCAGCAGAGAAGGCAACGCCTGCAGAATCTTGAGCTGGACGTCCAGTCCTGCCGACGTAGCTTCTCTGAATGCATCGAGAACCTCTCTCAAGCGAGATCTGGGAAGACTTCCTGAGACGACAAGCCTCTGTAGGCACACGATGGCTATGCTTGTGTATTTGACATTCTTGGTACCGCATGCTATGAGGAAAGGTGTCACGAAGTTTGGGCGTTGGCTGAGATCTAGTCATTGTTAACCATTGGCGATTGCATCTAAGCTAGATGTTGAGAGCTACATACCAGCAGCGACCTGGGCTTCAGATGTCGCGCGAAGGCCCTTGATTTCGTCGAGACTCTTTTCCGCTGCCTGGGGGTATAGACTTAGCCATGAGCAGTACAGAGAGAAGCGAACACAACACGTAAGCTCACATTTCTCAGATCGGCGTGTTTTCTTTTGCTTTCCTGGATCAGATTCCCCAGCTCAGATGCCAGGATTTGAGCCGTCATTTTTACCAAGTCAGCTTTTGTCGGAAGTATCTCATCTCCATGGCATGCGTCCGGACCTGCCTGGCATATCACGTGGTGGATGTCGGGGTTTAGTGTTCATGAGCGGACAAGTCGGGGTGGAAGGGAACGAGGGGAACGAGGCCAGCCAGCCTTTGAACCTTTGACGCTGGGGCACTTTCCAACCAATGAAATTGCCAAGAATTATTGATGAGTTTTGTCAGAATAAGCAATGGCTGGGAGTCTAGGACAGATTCCGGTCACGTTTTTTGGTACTCCAGGCAAGGCTTACGCGGGACCGCGGCCCTGTCTATCCAAACCAAAAATTCCTTTGTTCGGCAAAACACTGAACATGTAAATATGGAACCGCAGGACGGATGAGATCAGCCCAAGTGGTGGGCAGTTTGGAACATCCTCAAGTATTGTAGCGGTTTCGTCTTTCCATGATAGCTTTTGGGCGTCTCCCAGTCCCCGCTGACTAACTGTTCCTCCAACGCCAAGATCACACCCCGCCAACGAGCAGAGACATCGCGTGCCATTTCATTCACCCAAATACACCCAACCGAGTTCCTTCCTACCACCTACCTTCAGAGCGCGTCCCTCTATCTTTGTATTTTCCCCCAACAAAACATCTCCCCGTCCAAGCACGCCGTCGCCTCTGCAAGACCAACAGACCGCCTGACATCGCCGACAATATGGCCAAAGTACCCCGCAACTTTCGACTCTTGGAGGAGTTGGAGAAGGGTGAGAAGGGCCTCGGAGCAGGTTCGTCCCCCC